CAACTGACTTTTGAAAAAATTGCCCAAGGACAATATGAAAACATGATGGAACAACAAAAGTTAACAAATATTTCAAAAGAACAAGCTAAACAGATTTTAGTACTGCAAGCTGAAGTTGAAAGACTAAGGATGAAAACATATCCTGCTCTTATTCCAATGTAAAAACACTGGCGGGAAACACAAGACCAAACCAATCATTTAAAAATAATTTAATTTGATTAAAATGATTTTTTGTTCCTTCATATCAGGAAATTTAAGTAGAGCCTCTTCTCAGTTGCATAGTTTAGTAGCAAATTATTTAATTTTAGCCTTAATAATTATAAAAATGTTTGTCATGCATAAATAAATGTATAAAATATGAATTATTGTTTTCAAGAATGAGCAAGATTTTTACTCAGTATTCAAGAGCTATTTTTAGTTTTAATTTTATCAAAAATTATTTTCACAGTGATAATATAGAAAGTCTTAAAGACAACAGGAAATTATTTTTAGCCACAAGGGACATTTCTAATTTTATAAATTACCTGATGTTATGATGAAATTATGGATGATTTTTATACTTTTCTATATTTTGTAAGTTTTCCTCAATAAGCATTTATTCTATAGTCAGAAAAAAAATTGCCAGAACATTTAAGATTATTCCTTCTAGCAATGAGAACATGGTAAACTATTTACTTTTATCAAGCCCTAAATCATTCATAAATTATGACATATTTTGTACATAACATAATCTTCTGCATGTTATGTTCATTGTAACAGAATTCAATTTTGTGTCCTATCCAATTGTTTAGCAAACAGAAAAAAACGGTTTTTTTTTATTTTCATGAAAAGTTTATTGTTATGTTCATGCAGATGAGAATGAAATCATGAGATTAACAGGTCAGAACTGCTTTGCTCTTCCATAGCCTGTGGACTGCTACATTCCACGATGCTACCATATGGAACACTGACCACAATCTTCAAGTGATGTCAATGTCTCATTGTTCTTCAATTTGTGAATTAATTGTTAATTTTAATCTGCAATGCCATGTCCAATGTACACTGGTGTAGGTAAAGCAAGAGAGCTACTATAAAACCTATTTAGAAAAAAATATTTAGGAGATTTAAACATTCATTTAGAAATTGCCAGAATAATACCATAATCACTGATCAATACTAGATGGGAATGGTAAGAGAAATAATATGACCAACATTTTTTAAAAAATATATTTTATTGATTTTTTACAGAGAGGAAGGGAGAGAGAGATAGAGAGTTAGAAACATCAATGAGAGAGAAACATCGATCAGCTGCCTCCTGCACATCTCCCACTGGGGATGTGCCCACAACCCAGGTACATGCCCTTGACCGGAATCAAACCTGGGACCTTTCAGTCCGCAGGCCGATGCTCTATCCACTGAGCCAAACCGGTTTCAGCATGACCAACATTTTTGATGACTTCCCTCCTTAGTAATAGAATTACTCCTAAGTAGTCAGTTTTTTTCTGATTCAGCAGGGAAGTGCCATTGGTAACATTTTCTATATCTAAAGTCCTTCAAACTTATCTGACAAGGGGGTTCTGGGGGTGGGACATGGGAACATGGATCCAAGTGTGGATAAGTGTGTGAAGAATACAAATACCTTGTACATAAGATAGGATTGACAGTTCTCTGTGCTGTCAGTTGGAATCAACCATGAATATACTAGTCTACCCCCTTCCCCGACTGGTGATACAAATTCCATGTCAATTAAATTAACTTCCTGCAGGCTCTATTTGCTAATAGTCAATGCCATAAATCTCACTGGAAAATGCTCTATGAATTCCAAGGTCCTAACAAACCAGTTTGTGTGATTTCTGTTTGAATGCCACAGCTTTGAGACATGTATAGAGTGGAGGTTAGCAGGAACCTCTTGCTTGCCCCGCCCCCCTCTCCCCCCCTAGAAGGGCACATGGGTCATGCACCCCAACCTACTTTTGATACTGTCCATGGTACTGATTCTCAGCTTCTGCTGAACAGCAATTATATTTTATAGCCCTTTAAAATATTATTTATTTTATTTAAAAACAGTGTAATGGGGGAGGGGTGGAAGGTGATGTGGGGACAGGGACACATATGTAATATCTTAATCAATAGAATATATATTAAAATAAATAAATAAATAAATAAATAAAAATAGTGTAATGAACTGGGTCAAACATAGCATGGCTTTAAGCATAGCACTTAAGAATAGGGCTCTGGTACTGAGTTGCCTGGTTTTAGATCCTGGCTCAGGCACTAATTTTAAATAACTAGTTTTTAAATAACTACTTGATCTTAAATTTCCTTGTCTTAAAAACTGGGATATCGCTGAAGCCGGTTTGGCTCAGTGGATGGAGCGTCGGCCTGCGGACTGAGGGGTCCTGGGTTCGATTCTGGTCAAGGGCATGTACCTGGGTTGCGGGCACATCTCCCATGGGAGGTGTGCTGGAGGCAGCTGATCGGTGTTTCTCTCTCATCGATGTTTCTGACTCTCTATCTCTCTCCCTTCCTCTCTGTAAAAAATCAATAAAATATATTAAAAAAAAACTGGGATATTGAATGAGTTAACATACTTTTTAAACTGACACAAGAGTGCTGTTAGCTTTCATTTTTCCAAATAAAAATGTTATTCAGACCCTCGCTGGTTTAGCTCAGTGGATAAACATCAGCCCGGGGAATGAAGGGTCCTGGGTTTTATTCCAGTCAAGGGCACAGTTGCAAGCTCCATCCCTGGCCCTGCCCTGGTTGAGGCATGTGCAGGAGGCAACCAATTGATGTGTCTCTCTCTCATGTCAATGTTTCTCTCTTCTCTATCTCTCCCACTCCCTTCCACTGTCTAAAATTCAATGGAAAAAATATCCTCGGGTGAGTATTAACAAAATGAAGGTTTATGGCAACACTGCTTCAAGCAAGTCTGTTGGTGCCATGTTCCCAACAGCATTTGCTCACTTCATGTCTCTGTATCACATTTCAATTTTTTTTCATTATTATCCTATCTAATAAAAGAGGAAATATGCTAATTGACTGCCACATCATCAAAGATGGCGGCACCCACAGCCAATAAGGAGGGGATATGCTAATTGACTGCCACACCTTTAAAGATGGCGGCGCCCAGTCCCCTCAGCCCCACCGGGGCAGCAGGTGCTCCTGCCTCCAGAGTTCCCCAGTCCCCCAGGGCCAACCCGAGGCACAGGTAGG